GGCATCTTCGTGTAAGTTCGATATAATCTTCGTTCTGCCGCGAATGAACCTATATTTCTGGTTTTATTTTCGATGCAAAGTGCTAAAAACTGTTAAGATTCCTTTTTTATGCTTGGAAACACATGTTTACCTTAGTTCGATCGTAGTTTCGATTTGAAAGTTGCATTTATCTTTCTCAAAACATTTTGAAATTAGTTGTGAATTAAACTTTGTTGTCCAAGGGTTATCACATGTCTTTACTCATTATGCAGAGGTGGCGGAACCATAGGGACCTTGGCCAACTTTGTTAGTTTATATTTGTTGGTCGTCTTGGAATTCTGAGTTGGCTAGGACAAGTAGAGATGCCTCATCTCTCGATTATAAAATAGACTAGATCAATTCCCGATTGACCTCATTCAATCGAGAACGCCGAGTTAGTCTGGACCAGTTTAGAATGAGACTGCGACATATTAGAATTGTTCAATACAACATGGATGTTTCAATAATAATTGTAAAAATGAATATCGATGTCTTTTCTTTTGATTAGTTTAAAGGATTTCCTTAAATCTTTAGAGTTTTAATGGTTTCAAAACATACTTTTGAAGTACAAAGTAGGTTCTTTTTTACAGATGTTCTTGAGACATTTTAGAATTGTATAATTCTATTAGGCGCTTTTAAAATGAAAAACAGCACACCTTTGAATTGTTTTATTTGTATTCTTAATGGTTTATTTCATAAACCCATATTAACAAATATTAGCCAGAAGAAAAACAACCAAAAATCAAAATCAAAATTTCTCATTTTCCATTAAAACATCTTATACACACTGTAAAACCCAGTGACAATCAAAGAACAGATTTCTCCTCTCAGAAAATAGCTAGAGAGCTCGGACTGCTTTTAAAATATAAAATGAAGTTAGGGTAAGGATGTAACAGAGTCAGAATTTTGAGTTTTCTCGGTTGTATTTTCCGAAGGATTTCAGCTCAAAAGTTCAAAAAAAGTGCAAAAATTGGTGTATAACTTCCAACACTGTAAAAGAATGAAGGCCTAAAATCATAAATCGTTTTCTGTTACCTTATTTCCTTATGTCTTAACTTCAATTTAAAAAAAGAACTGATCCATTCTGACTTTTTGTTACCGAAAAATTTGCCTGACGGTGAGTTCCGCCACGCGAAAAACACGTTTCGAGAAAAACGCAAAATACTTTTTTTCTTCTGAAAATTACTTTTCCTTTGATCTGTTTTGATCTTTAAGAGTTTGATAAAGCTCTGTATAGGTTTTCGACCATGCAGATTCTGATGCACATATGCTCGCACATATGTCACATATACGTATGTGTATGTAAACGCTTTCTTCACAATACCATTCTTTTACCTATAAAGTATATGATGTATACATTTCCACCAAAACTCAATTGCGTTGCTATTATGCATGCTTACTACGGTTTTATTTTGTTTCTAATGCCTACAGCTTAATTATACATGTCGTTAAAAAAGCATCACGTTTTTTTGGCACTGTTTTGTCTATTTCGAGTATAAGAACAAACGAAAGCGTACTTTTGTTAGAAATAAGAGTATGTGCATCCGAAAAAAATGCATGCACAGGTACCTGTATATGCGTCACATGTACATGCATATGCCCGTTGGATTCAGCAACGTCGAAAACCTATAAGAGGATAAAAACAGACTAAAACATGAAAAATTTGACATTTTGAGTTTTTATTCTTGTGGGGCTTCCAGAAAACTTCGTGAACATCCACTAAAATCCATTTTTTAGCGAGTAAAAATTAGTGCAAAATAAATAAATTACTAGGCAGTTCTTGGTTATCTCTTTTATTCTGTTTCTGCATGCTTAGTTTAGATTCATAGAAACTACGTTATACTTCTCATTTTCATGTCACGCAATGTGTATCAGATCAAAGACGGCGAGAAGAAAGAAAGCGGTCTCAATAACATTTAGAAGCACAGTTTTATTTCAATAATGTGTAACTAGATTGCAATCATCATTTGATCCTCTATTATGTGTGTGCTTATTAACTTTGACTTAGATTACTCTTTTATTTAAAATGACAAATGATTTTACGAGATATTTAATTTATTTCAAATGAATAAGGAAGGTAAGCGTCAGTGACAGATTTATGAATAAACGAAGGGGAGGATAATTCCTGGAAAAAACAATTTTTCAAGTCTGTCGGAGATAACGTAGAAAATTTTATCCAAACGTAGACGTGATCGCGCTTAGCATACACTCGCGCGAAATCCTTTAGGGATAAGTATAAGATCATTATTATACAGTTGTTACTTTTATCAGGAAAAAGAGATTTCAAAAAGTTTTGTATTACTCTAAAATCATTTTTCTTTTATTTATTCTGTGTAATCTTTCAATAGTTTAGTATATTCGACGAATGAGATTGAATGAAAGATGAGAAAGAAAAAAAGGTTTTAAAAACTGGACTTTGCCGTGTACTTTTTTGACTGAATGTGCAGTTTAAGGTGCGTTTGCATCTATGACAGACTATGTGCGGAAGTGTAGCATGCATCACCAGAAAACTTTGCGTCATTTCTAGCGAAATTTACAATACTTCGTATTTTCTTTTCATATTTTATTTAAAAGTTTATTCCACTAAAGGGAGAGTACTGTACAAACATTGTCTTTTGAAATAGAAGGTCTTCTGCAGTAATCTACAAAGTTTATTGCGAAATTTACGATTCTCATTTTTCTTTCTGTTAAATAGAATAAATCGAACGAACGAAAAATTTGTATTGTGCGGATGAAATTAACGAAGCGAATAAAAGACAGATTTAAAAGGTACACTGTTGTTCACTTTCTGTTTATTTAGTTATTTCATCACGAAAACACATCATCTTTGAAATTGAGATTTAATTGTTCTCAATATATGGAAACTGTTCGGAAGTTCTTCTCTAGAAAAGACGTTGTACATAATGTTAAGCCTCTTTAAAAGTTAAATCAGATCTAAGAAGTTTGGGATCTAACGGCCAAGCGATGGTGTTGCTACGGCCTTAGACGTCTTAGAATCACGAAAGGAAGCACTTTTTTCTTGTTGGCCGTTAGATCACTGGTTTTATTAAAAGAACGTTAGGAAAGATAATGTGCTTTTGATTCTGAGTACTTTTAAAATGAGCTCAAGCAACAGAATATACCAATGGATAGAGCTAATCGAATTATACAGGCCCAACCATTTTTAGAGTTGGTACAAGCGCCAGGACGAAGAATTACATGAAGCTGCCGCTAACTTTACCTATGTAACATCACAAGGGCTTTTTATTAACGTGGCACTTATTTTACATCTGTATAACTGGTTAATTCCCGAGTGCATTAGCATGTTGATAGTGCACTAGTCTAACTATTATAGAGATCAGTTATTGCATAGTGTTGTGATCTATGGCGGCTGTTTATTTTCTGCCAATAAGAAATTTTTTCCGATACTACTTTTGTTCTTCACTAATTTCCTAGCTTATCCTACTTGCCTTTGGCTAACAAAATCCTTCTCATTTCGAAACATTTGTATCAATTGAAATAATCAGACTTTGAAAAGCGGTTGTTTGTATTAATTTTAATCGTTGGTTTGTTGCATCATATTATTCATTAAAAAGAATGGGCCGTGCAAAATCAACAGAAAAGGATAGGGGAGGAAAATCAAATAGAACAAAGAGGAATTTGGGTGGACGTGTTAACGGTGTAAGGCGTCTGAATGCTACGTTAGCTGCTTTTGAAGATGATGAACAAGCTTCGACATCGACATTGTCTCGAATTACCGTCTCAAAAACATCGGATGAAAGAACACGATCCACAACAACATATACAAGTAATTCAACAGCAACAAATTCATTAAACAGCGACCAAGATACTGAACAACAAGAAGAAGGAGATCTAGAACCACAGCCAAAGCAAGCATCTATTTGGAAGCATTGTAAAAAATTAGCAGTGAAAATTAACAATGAAATTGTAAAGAAAGCTAAGTGTAATTTATGTACCAAGGAAATTTTCACACCTAATTGGTCAACGACAGGCTGTCGAGCACATTTGTATAAAGATCATAAAATGATGGAATTTGCTCCTGTATTGAAAACGGGAAGAAATCAGCAATTAACACCATTTGAAAAAAAGGAATTAAATGAGCTTTGCATTGAAGGTATCGTCGAAGATGGCAGATCATTTGGAGATCTGAGACGTAAAGGAATTATGAAAATTTTTAATCGTCTGTTGCCTGGTGAGTTCGCTTAGATTTTTTCAAGCGATTCAGAAGAAGCTCCCAAGAGACATAGGCTTGGAAAAAGAAAAATAACTTTGCAAGAAATCTTAGTTTCTAGATAAAAGGTCTCAACAAATTCTGTTTGCTTTTTTCGAAGTGTGAAAAATCTGTTTGAGTCTAAATGATATAATTAGAGCTGCCACTAGACTGGGCATATAGATAAATGTTAATTATACGCCTGAACTAGTTTTTTTCCTAAACGGGAGCTTGTTGTAAAATTAGTTTTATTTCATAACTCAGAGTAAAACCAATTTCTTTGATATATTATTAGGCAGTTTTTTACGCTTTATTCCACCTTGACATTGTGCTTTTAATAACAACGCAGTTGAAATAGTTCTCTAGATGTAATTTTTCTATACGTTTAGTGCCATTCAACTTTTAGAAAGCCTTGTGTTTCTGCACTTAGTCTTCAACAGAATAATTCATGCATTTGTCATTTTCTTTAGAGGCTATATCAGATACCAGCTCAAAACTCTGACTAATGCATCTTTTTTTGTGTAATTTAGGATTTAGACCACCAAATCGCAACACCGTGCAGCGATCATTAAAACGATTAAATAATCAAAAAAAACGTGATTTAAAAACTGAACTTCAAGTAGCGCGTCATATAGGAATTACTACTGATTTCTGGAGTGATCGTCGAACGGTTTCATATTTAGCTATTACTGGACATTTCATTGATGATAATTTTAAATTTATATCAAAAATTTTATCATTTACGACTTTCGCAGAAAGACATTGTGGAACAAATATAGCTACTGAAATCGAAAATCGGCTCAAGGATTTAAACATATTCAATAAGGTTAAAGCGATTACTGCTAATGGAGCTTCTAATATGATTGTCGCATGTGCCAATTTAGGTGACGATATTAGTCGTATTTGGTGTATCGGACATAAATTTCATCTTGTTGTAACAAACGGTCTTTGTTTATGGGGTAAAAGCAAGAAAGATAAAGATGATAATTCTGGTATTGATGCTCTCAATGATGCTATCAGAGCAATGTCAACAGAAGATTTAAGTGATGATTTAACAACAGTAGCTGCAACTACCACATTAGCAGCAGGAATGATTAAGTAAGAATGACATACAACTCAGAATTTTTTTCGAATATACGGTAGAACATTGGTGGGTTTCTACTATTTTGTAAATAAGCCCAAATGTTCAGATTTTATTTTGTAAAAGAACCGCACTATATCATCCAACACAATTTTGAGAGCTTATTAAATAAAAATGAAGTGAACCGAATAACTCGTGGTATAGACCGATGATAATAAGACATTTAAAGCATGCAGTGGCATTTTTAAAGTGCTGTTGAGGAGTAGTTTTCTAGGAATACTTGCTACAGATGCTAGCCTACTCTTTCATCATGCTAGCGACGCTACAGTCATTTCAACAGTATTTTCACTTTGCTAATAATTTTTAAGCAAAATATTGTAGAAAGGCTACAATATTTTGACGAGCAGGCTTTCATCAAAGGCTTTCATTTTGACGAGCAATCTATCTTCTACAAAACCACTTATTTGGAAAACAAAAAAGTCGTTCCTTTATTGTAAATTTGTGATTTTCTGATAGCGAGATTTCTGTTCGACATTTGAATAATAACTCTTAGCTAAGGTTGATTTTATATTACTCAACACTTTCGTTAAACATTTAATATGAATTTTCTTTCAGCGATCAACAAGCTGATGTTGATATAGCAAGTGAGGATGAATCGGGTTTGGACGATGATATTGATGATAGTGTTGTTGCAGCAAATGATATAACGAATGATGACAATTGGGCATTGGACGTAATTGATGAGGATAGTGAAATGGCTCAATATTTGACAGTTGAAGAAGAAAATATTAGTAGCGTTATTGAAAAAATGCGAAATCTGATAAAAATGATAACTAGGTAAAGAGACAACCATAATTCTGAACTTTTAAAGATTCGCTCCGGCTTGCGCAACTCGTCTGTCTATCTACAGCACAAAAAGACTAAATATTTTTAAAATTTAGCGTAGGTGCTTAGAGCAATAACTGCATAGAGCAAAATATTACTCTTAGACTTCCATTCTTATATTTTTAAAAGGACAAGTGGCAGAATGTAAGGTTTCGTGCCCAAAGAATTACA